AGGTGGCAGTGCTCATTTTTGGGTGGGAACAGGTGGCAGTGCTCATTTTTGGGTGGGAACAGGTCTCAGTACTCACGTTGGCACCTTTGGGGCCGGGGAATCCCATCACACCGGGCTGGCCACGGGCACCCTGTGGGCCGGGGGGGCCGGGGCGCCCGTCCTCGCCGGGGGCACCCTGTGGGGAGGGGAGGGGGTGTCAGGGGGCGCCTGTGCCAGACCCCCCCACCCCATCCAGCCCCCTGCCCACCCCCCAACACCCCCACGTGCGGCTTCACTTACGGTGGGGCCGACTTTGCCTTGGGGTCCAGCGTCACCGGGGCGGCCCGTGAGGCCCTGCAGGGGACAGGGGAGCTCTGAGGGGGGGCTGGGCACCCCTCATGGGGGGGGGCACGAGGGTCTGCCCAACCCCCACCACCCCAGAGAGCGTCTTTGCTCACCCCAAAGAGCGCCCGACCCCAAAGAGCACCCAATCCCAAAAAGGATCCGACCCCAAAGAGCACCCAATCCCAAAGAACATCTGACCCCAAAGAGTGTCCAACCCCAAAAAGTATCTGACCCCAAAGAGCACCCAATTCCAAAAAGGATCCAACCCAAAGTGTGTCCGACCCCAAAAAATATCCAACCCCAAAGAGCACCCAATCCCAAAGAACATCTGACCCCAAAGAGTGTCCAACCCCAAAAAATATCTGACCCCAAAGAGCACCCGACCCAAAAAAGGATCCAACCCCAAAAAGGATCCGACCCCAAAAAGGATCTGACCCCAAAGAGCACCCAACCCCAAGAAGCATCTTTGCCAACCCCAAGTGCGTCTTAACCCCAAATGCACCTTGGTCACCCCAGAAGGCTTCTTAATTAGCGAAGAGCATCTTAATTAGCCCTAAAATGTGCTTTGGACACCCCAGAGGGCGTCTTAATTAGCCAAGAGCATCTTAATTAACCCCAAAGGATTTCTTGGTTGTCACCAGAGAGCAACTGACCCAACCCCAGAAAACACCTTAATGTCAAAGAGTGCCATGGGCGAGGCCAAAAGCACTGCATTGACCCCAAAAGCATCTTAAACAACCCTAAAATCACCTCACTTACCCCAGAAGCACCTCAGACAACCCTAAAAGCACCTTATTAACCCCAAAGGCACTTTGTCGACCCCAAAAGCACCTAGTTGACCCCAGAAGCACCTCAGACAACCCCAAAAGCACCTTATTGACCCCAAAAGCACATGATTGACTCTTAACCCTAAAAGCACCTTATCGACCCTAAAAGCACCTTATCAACCCCGGAAGCATCTCATTGACCCCAGAAGTACCTCATTGACCCCGAAAGCACCTCACTGACCCCAGAAGCATCTTAGCCCTAAAAGCACCTTATCGACCCTAAAAGCACCTTATCGACCCTAAAAGTGCCTTATTGACCCCAAAAGCACCTTATTAACCCCAGAAGCATCTTAACCCTAAAAGCACCTTATCAACCCTAAAAGCACCTTATTGAACCCAAAAGCACCTCATTGACCCCGAAAGCACCTCATTGACTCCGGGAGCATCTTA